TCCTGTCACTCTGAGACAGCAAAGGGCCAAGAACCCAAACCCATTTCTGACAGCTAAAATGTGGATCTATTGGTCTTGTAGGCGATGTAATGAACATATTTTGGTCCCCTGGGGAAGTAACTCAAAGAGAGTTTAGTTTTAATGTACACATTAGAAGACTGTGTTTGTGTGCAACCAGGTGCTGGGTGATCGCTGGGCCGCCATCTGTAGGTGGACAGAGGAACGCTGGATTCTGCTTCAGGAGATTCTACTGAAGTGGCAGCACTTCACTAACGAGCAGGTATACCTGTGTGTGTGTGTGTGTGTGTGTGTCATCTCGATTGAAATCTGCACAAATGCAGCCCTCAAAAACATGTCAACATGTACTCATTGCATACCTTCATCTGAAGACCAGCTTTGGGTTTTGCAGTTAATATGTTTGGACCACAGCAGGTTTGACAAAGGAAACTACATGCATCAAGACATGCGATTTGTTCATGGTGTGTGATTAATAAGTGAGAAAGTTAAAATGTCAACATTGGATTATACATGATTAACAGACCGGCCTTTATTAAAGCCCAGCACTAGATTTGCGTTGCCACCTGCCCTTCCTTTTGTTTGCTGCTCTATTCACTAAACAGAAGACATTTTAATCCTCTAACCCCGGCACTTTTTCAGGATTTATCAGTATTGTTTTTTAAGAAGATTATTATAATAAAATCCTTATAATTCAGTTTCTAGCAGGCCAGAATCTTACTGTGTACAGGTCTCTGCACACTGTTTGTATTTGGGCTGAATGTGTTCAAAGTATGGGCAGCAGGGGTCCATTTGATAAAGTGTGATTGTTTTATTCCCACAGACAAATACAAAATGATCACTTCACTGTGCTTTATAATGAAAAATCAGCGTCTGCAATAGCTCTGAGACATTCATAAGAACTAAATTTAATTTGATTAATTATTCAGAGCATAAGGAAATGCACTGACTTTAATTTTCCCCCATTCTGTGTTTAAATGCTCGTTCAAGTACCACGACCGGCTCTGGTTTCACATTAGCCGTCTGAGGGCTGATAACAGGCAGATTAGCACCGTGATCCGGCAGACAGCAGAGCTGAGGATGCTGCACCAAATGAAGACCACTGATCTCGCTCTGTCTGCTCATTCTCTCCCCCTTCTGCTCTTTTGATTTATGGGAGCTTCCTTACTCGCCTTCTCTTTCCTCTTTCCTCCCCTCGTCTCCTCTCCTCTCCCTTTTTCTGCCTAGTTCACACCTCCTGTCCTCTACTGCTCCTATTGTTTTTGTGTTCCTCTCATCTTTCCTCTCTTGTCTACTCTCTTTCTTTTATTCTCCACCTTCTTCTTGGTTCCATCCCTCCTACCGGTTCTCCTCTTTCTTGTCATGTTCTGTGTCCTCCACTTTTTTCTCCTTTCCTTCCCACTCTTCTGTCCTCCTCTCTTCCTTTTTGCTCCTTCTCTTTGTTACCTTTTCTCTCCAATCTTGCTCTTCTTCCCTTTAGTTTCCTTTTTTCTCCTGTCTTCTATTTTCCTCTACTACTTTATCCCCATATTATCTTCTCTTTCCCCCTCTTTTCTCTTTTGTTCTTTCCTTTCCTTCCCTCTCATCTTGTTTTCTCTCTTCTCTCCTCCTCTACTTTCCTCATTTCCTCACCTTCCCCTGGTTTCCTCTCCACTTCTCCCCTCTCCACCTTTATATGATCTTTATTTCCCTAGTTTTCCTTTTCTCCTTTCTCGTCTTTCTCCTAAGAGAAAAAAGGATGTCATTTCTGTACCCAAAGGTACATTTATCAGAAAAGCACCTTGTAGGATACGTAAATGCTCTTAAGGTCTTAACTGTAGACCTTTAAAGGTACAAAATCATTTCTGACAGCAAAGGGTACATGAATGCACTTTTACAAACTTAAGGTACAAGCAAATGAAGCAACAAATCATTAATCACAAAATACTGATTTAGATTAAAAAAAAAAAAAAAAAAAATTGATAAAGATAAAACAGGTTTCTGGTGTATTTCCATACAATTTGTGAACAGAATAATTTTATGAGCTCAGTACATAACTAATAAATAATCAATACATGATTTAATTGAGTATTTATATGACATTGTTGACATAAAACTGAGAATTTAATCGTGAAAATGATTTCAGTGTTGTTGGCGTCACCCTCCTGTCATTACTTAGAACGACCAGTAGGGGTCAGTGTTCCCTATTCATCCTATAGACTGGTTCGTCCACCATTCAGCTGCCGGTCGGACATGAAGGCACTGAGGCGGTGACAATGTCCGGGAGTTTTCGTGCTTTGGCAAGTTTATCAACTGACCAGCTCATTGAAAAACTATTCGAAGTGGCAATACAAATAAACGAAGATGAAGCAAGGGAATTCAGGGGTAAGTAAAATGAGGTAACGTTTCTCTTCATGCTACTGCTAGCTAGCTAGCGGATCATTTTAATTAGCCTGACTCAGGCTACTGTGAACCTTAGCTAGCTACGTAAAGCACTTGATATTTCATCGCTAGACGTTACTCCTGACTACTTCACTGTTAAAAAAAAAAAGTCTTTCAATAAAGTACCTGTCAAATCTTGTGACGGAGACATTTTTTATTTTATTTTTGCTGCGTCATTGTCCATGCTCGTGAGGTGTTTTTTCTCTCTTTTAGGGCTCCCGCGTGAGCCCCTGCCAGCCGTTTCCCGCCTCAGTCTAGGTTTGCCTGGTTGGTTCCGGTTCAAACCGCTTTTAGCAGGTTCCAGCAGGTAGCGTGTGCAGCTAAACAATAGGCGTGTTTATCAAATGAGGGCAGACTATTCCCTGTAAGTACAGCTTCTGCTACATTACCACTCAGCATATCTGGTGAAATGATGTTAAGACAAAAAAAGGACTAGAATTAGTTGTTGCTCGGTATCCAACCAATGCAGAGTAAATGGGAGTTGAAGGCATTAATAGTAAAGTACCCTTTCCTGGGGGATATGGAGGGGAATGGATATGTGAGTTGCATTTTTAGTTAACTGATTTACCTGTTTGTGTAGTTGCACAAGGTGTTGTTGCGTAAGTCTTATCTGCAGCAAAATGCTTAACAGTCAATTGTATTCAATTTTTACAAGCACACCTGGCACACATGTTCCTAATGCGCAAGTTTAAAACAGAACTTGCACCACTTGTAGGCGACAGTGAAGTCAGAAGCATGGCCACACAAAGCAGTCCAGAACCACCAGTGAATCTGCAGCTTTGTGTGGAAAGCCAGCTAACCAACCATGTGTAAGTCCATGGCTATGTAAGTATACACACATGGACAGAATTGTAGGTACCCCTCGGTTAATGAAAGAAAAACCCACAACGGTCACAGAAATAACTTAAATCTGACAAAAGTAATAAGTTACAAGCTGCAATATATTTTAAAATGTTTTCTTTCATGTAGGCTGCCACACCCGGTCCAACCATACAGCTCATGGACGATGACTGGAGATCAGCAGCAGAGGGTCCAGTGTGGTGAAGTAGATGGAGTATCTGTGTGCCAGTGCACAAGCCTTGATGAAGCCTATGCAACAGCCTTCAGTATGTATTTTGCTTTCAACATTGCATACCCACCACACCTGAAAAACACAATGACCTTCCTTCAAAGACTCTTTGTGAGTATCAAACCCCTTCCAGTAACTTTACTCCAAACAATAAACCTTCTGTACTGGGTTATTATGCCTCCGCTGCACCAGTGCCCAATGTGCACTCGAAGGACATTTACCCTTGTGAAGTTAATTCAACATATTGCACTTGTTTAAATCACATTCAGGAGCCATGTTCCTGTTAAAGCAGACACACAGCAGTCCCTCCACTCTCTTCCGGTTTCTCTCAGCAAACTCATCCAGCTGGTTGTGGAGGGAGCGGACATTGGAGAGCAGGAGGATGGTCCTGCTGGTCTGGAGGGGTTAGCCTCTAGCCTAGCATGGATCCTGCTGGTCTGGAGGGGTTAGCCTCTAGCCTAGCATGGATCCTGCTGGTCTGCAGGGGTTAGCCTCTAGCCTAGCATGGATCCTGCTGGTCTGGAAGGGTTAGCCTCTAGCCTAGCATGGATCCTGCTGGTCTGCAGGGGTTAGCCTTTAGCCTAGCATGGATCCCGGTTCTCTTCTTCCTCCTCCTTGATTGGCAACACCACATTGCTCTCTCTCTCTCCCTTTCAGTGATATCCACTCTTTCGCAGGTTTCCTGAATGTGTCCCATCATGCTTGAGTTATAACACAGGCGTTCTCGCTGCAGTGATCAGGAATATGCAAACAGCAAGCAGGATTTTCCAGGTTTTCTTCTGGATTTGGCGATCCATGCCGCCTCTTTCAACAGGGCACCGCCATCTTTGTTTACACACAGACCGACTCACTGACGTCATAAAGTAGTAATCGTGTTACGCTGATTGGTCGGAACAAGGTCACTGACGCTTCACGCTCCTACCGCGGCAGAAAAGATAGTTCCATCTTCACACTGCAGGATTTATGCGTGTGGAAACTTTATGGAAGTAGGATGGTTGGATATATTTTCAGAATATAAAAAGAGATTTTGTTTCGCATAATAGTGGAACAGAACAACACGATAGAAAAGCTCGCCTATGGCCTATAAGGTTCCTCTGAGCGTCTTTGTTAAAGTGATGAAATAGACGTGGACTGTGTTATCAGTTTGCAGGGATTGTGGGTAGTGCACTCTCACAGGGCAGCAATCAAGTTCCACTTGCCTCACGCTCCAGTCCAGCTCTGGCACTGGTGTGCTCTCATGCACATGAATCAAATTGTAGTATCACCTGTGGTTTAGCTGGTTGCCGGTCATCTTTTTCTCCATTCCATTCCTTTAGAAAATGTGTACAGGAAGCATAAATGCTTTGTATTTAGGCCCTTGGATAATATAAATAACAGTCTAAGTGAAGAGTCTGCAATACAGCAACAAAGTTTGTACCAGGACCAGCAAAGGTCAGAGACTAAGCTCAGTGCTAGGGATCCTTACAGAGTCGAACCAACTTTAGATAAACTATTAGAGGATTTCAGGGATATTCTGTTTGGATTTGTCCTTAAATGCAGAGAGAAAAACCTTTTACATTTGTCAGTCCAACAAGACATAAGTGATGATGTCAAATTTCTCTTTTGTTTTTTCAAAGAAAACTCTGATATGTTTATTGCTTATCATCTTGAATAAAGTGGTTTGATATTTCCAAGTGCCCTGAACTTCAGCAAGTTTTGCACTCACCTGATTTCTTTGATAAAGCTTGTGATGTTGTTCATTCGCCACA